CAATAAACCTTAAAATAAAGAATAATGGGGACCGGAATGATAATGCAGCAGATAGGGCACTTGCCTTGGATGCAGCCAACCCAGGTTCCATCCCCTGCAATACATAAGTTCCTCCAAGTCCATCAGGAGTGATCCCTGAGTGCAGAGCCAAGAGTAAGCTTTGCGCTTATCCAGAGGTGGTCGAAAAAAAAAATTATTTTTGGCTTTTTGGGTCACACCCGGCAATGCACAGGGGTTGCTCCTGGCTCTTCACTCAGGAATTACTCCTGGAGGTGCTCAGGGGACCATATGGGATGCTGGGAATCCAACCTGGGTCCGCTGCATGCAAGGCAAACGCCCAACCCACTGTGCTATCGCTCCAGCCCCCGAAAAAAAATTTTAAAGAATATTCATTCTTCTTCTTCTTCATCACCAAATTGTTTTTAGGTATCTTGCTACTTCCAAGGAGGATTTCCTTTCCTTTTAGATAACTTCATAAGTACTTCTTGTGGGCCAATTTGGTGGTGATAAATTCTTTTAACAATCAGGAAACTTTCTTCCTCCTTCAAATCTCAGTGATAAACTTATTGGATAGAGTATTTGTGGTTGGAAATTTTTCCCACTCAGTCCTTTTTTTGACACATCAGGTCACTTCCTCAAGGTTTAACTGAGAAAACTGGTAAGTCTTTTGGGGGTCCCTTTATATTTGACTTTGATTTTTTTTCCTAGTCTTTAGAATTTCCATTGGGTTCTTGCTATTCTAATATAATGTATCTTGGTATACCTATTTGTTGTTGTTTTTTTTTCTTAGGGTTTCTGGAACTGGAGAGTGCACAGATATTTTATCTTCAAATAAAAATTCTGTCTCGGGGATGGAGCAATAGCACAGCGAGTAGGGAGTTTGCCTTGCACTCGACAGATCCAGGTTTGATTTCCAGCATCCCATATGGGTCCCTGAGCACCACACAAAGTTGACTCCTGAGTGCAGAGCCAGGAGTAACCCCTGTGCATCACCGGGTGTGACAATTAAAAAAAAGCAAAAAAAAATTCTCTCTCTCTCTCTCTCTCTCTCTCTCTCTCTCTCTCTCTCTCTCTCTCTCTCTCTCTCTCTCTCCTTCTTCTAAAGGTCCCATGATAAAAATGTTCCTCTATTTTTCTCTATACTTTGCTTCAAATAGCTTGCACCTTATCTTCAAATTCTTTAATCCTTCTGCTAATTTTTTGGAAAAATTTCCAGTACTCTTCTTTTGAGTCATTAATTCTGTTCCTGGATTCCTCCATTCTGCTGTTGAACCCACACATAATACTATCTAGTTCAAAATGAAAATACTTTTAGTAATACTCTGTCCTGTGACCCTATTATCTGTATGGAGCTTCTTTCAAACATTTTTTCATAGATTGTAGGAGTTCTCTTCTATTAATCACATTTTAGTGAACATCTTTAGGACTATAGCTTTGAAGTCTTCTTTGGATATCTTGCTTTTTAAACCATTTTAATTGCGGTACTGGAATTTACAATACTGTGTCATACTTTTCATGAATATATTATTCTAATAATTCATCATTCATTCATTCATTCATCATCCTGTTATTCGTCGATTGCCTCGAGCAGGCCCCAGTAACGTCTCTTTCATCCTAGCCCTGAGATAGATTATATTCAAGGCTCTTTAGGAGAATGAGACCCATCATTGTTACTGGTATTTGGCATATTTGGTAGGCCACGGGGAGTTTGCCAGACTCTGCCCTGTGGGCAGGCTACATTCGATAGCCTGCAAGTTTGTCCAAAGTAGGAATGAGATAATAAGATGTCATAAAAAGATGTCCTGATAAGATGTCGCACGGCCCCAAATGCGACTGCGCGGTTCTGGGAGCTGGATTCTAATAATAGACCAAATCTATAAGCAAGAGCCAGATTCCCTCCATTCTTTGTTATATTGAATAGCAATGTTGCATTAGGAATATTTTTTTAGACTGTTGAATGTATCAGTGTTTACCAAAGTGCAATCTGGTGGGTGCTGGAACTATACAATGGCAGTAGAAGCCTCAAATGCAAGTGTGTGTGTGTGTGTGTGTGTGTGTGTGTGTGTGTGTTGGAAGGGGTTGAGGTTTTGTTTACTTAAATAAGGTAGATTTCCAGATGGGCACTTAGCAAACAATTTTTTTTTATGGAAAAGGAGACAGTTGGGTTCAGAGAGATAGTACAGCATGTAAGGCACTTGCCTTGCATGCAACAGCCATAGGTTTGATTCCTGGGATCCCATCCAGTACCCCAAGTACCTGTAGGAGTAATTCCTGCGTTCATATCCAGGAGTCATCCCTGAGCACTGTTGTGCAACTCCCCTCACCCCCACCCACAAAAAAAAGAAAAGGGGGCAGTAGACCAAATAAATTTGGAAACCTTTGTCAGATCTATCAGCATGAATGAAATTCCTCCATTTCCCCAGTATGTGTGGTGTCCTGGGTAGGTGTACCAAATGCCTGTCTTCAAATTTGACAAGTTTCTAAAGAGCTAATACTTTGAGGTCCCGGTAAACCAACCTTGAGAGGACCTGCTGTTCTAAGAGCACAGTTGTCCAGAGTTTGAGACATTGCCTGGGCAATGACTGGGTGGTCATGGTTGCCCAATACCCATCAGCCACCAGACTGCTGTCATGCAAATCTAGGGGATAGCCGGGGAATTCATGTCAAGGTTGATTTCAGAGGAGACAGGGATCTCAGTACTACTGGTGGCACAGATGCATACCTGGGTGGCAGAGAAGAGTCTGGCTAACCATTAAGTACACACTGCAGCGCAGCAAGCAATGGAGCCCCTTGAATAACTGATGGTGCTGTGGGAATTTCCTAGGGTGTTTTCAATCTAAAACCATACACCTTGTATGCTAGCAATCAGATGTGGACCATCAAGAGATAAATGTTGCTAGGACAGATATTTTCAACTGTTCGACTGGTTGGTCTATATTCTTCAATCCTAGAATTTATCTGTACTTTTTCAAATTTTCTATCTTTTCCCAGTAGCTCAGCTGCTGGGTAGGGTCAGGTGATGCTCTCCTGTGGAGCAGGAAAAACCTGACTGGCTCTGAAGTGAAACCTCAAAAGGGGGAGTAATTGGGCAGAGATAGCAAAACAGGGCGCCTGTATCATGTGTTTGGCCTTGAGACTCACTCGACCCCTAGTCACATATGCCCAAAATGCAGAAACCATCATGTACGCTTTAAGCAAGTCATTCTAACCGCAACATATAGCCTTGAAGGGGCATTGGACCTGGGAAAAAAAAAAAGAGAGGAAAATGTGATAAGCCAATATTGTTAAGCTCTATGTGACTGGATCTCCTGTAAGCCAAGACCCTCTATAAAAATGTGCGTATTTGGCAATAAATCAACCTGTGATCAACTGCTTCCAAAGGGGGTTCTCAGTGTGCTCATCCTCCTTCGCTCCTCCTAGCCCTACGGCCAGGCTCCTGCCGGTACTCAGTGAGCAACGAACCTGGGAGCCTTGGGGATAACAGTCTCCCAACACTCTTCTCGGATTTTCCTTCAGGAACTGCTACTCTGGAGAGTGAGATCTGATATGGAGTCCACCAAGGCTGGGATTAGTCAGGTTGCCAAGATGCACCTGCCAGTCACTCTCACCCATTTATACTCCTGTGTCCCATTGCACTGTTGCAAGTGTAGGATGATAGCATTAGGGTGCTCCACATTTGTTACAGTTCCCACCCTGCTCCAAAGGTAAACTTCTGCACCCCAGAAATCTTTTTCCAAGGGCAGTTTAATTCCCTCTGATGGGGTTTCTTTCTTGGCTGTTCTCTGTCTCCACTGTGTCTGGTGCTTTCCTGCCCTGTGCTATAAAAACCTTCAGGCTAGTTTCTGTGTAAATTAATCCAAATTTGCTTGATCACAGGCGGAAGTAAACACAAGTTCTCCCTATGCAATATTTTGGGTGTGTCTTGGTTTGAATTTTAAACTTACAGCACATCTCAGTTTGAACACGTTACATTTCACCAGTTTGATAGGCACCTGTGGCTAATGGTTACTGAAACTAGAATGTACAATTGTGAATCAAGTACCAAATAATTAAATCGTTCCTAACTAGCAACATAGTGGCAGTTGCTAAATTCAATTGACACAATTCCATTAATTCAATAAGTGATGAGACAAAAAAAACCCTAATAGATTGAGAGTCTTTGTTAATCATGGCATAGAAGATAGCATGAACTCTTTAACCGCCCCACCCTCCCTCCCCCCACCACCCCCGAGAACAAAGTCCAAGAGGAGTAAGAGACAGAGCCAGTTCATATAAGGTTTTTGTAAGCCATGTTTAAGATTTGGGGTTTTATTCAGTCTATGGTAGGTCACTAAACTGAACAGTATGTCATAAAAATCTTAGCAGTCTATAGGATCAGCAATTTATAAAGAATATGCAACCTCTGCAAATGAACTTTTAGTACGCCCCCCACACACACAACTCTGCCCCCCAATCACCCAACACTGCAATAAGCAGTACTTCCGGACACAGGTAGCATAGGAAAAAAGTAAGCTCCTGCTCTCAAGGTGCTCAAATTTATGTGGGGCAACGATCCACAGCGGCAGGGTGGGGGGGGGGGGGGGATGGGGGGGGGAAGGATGCTAGGACCCGTGGCGGGGGAGGATGGGCACTGGTGGAGGGATGGGTACTTGATCATTGTATAACTGAAACCCAAGCACAAAAATTTATAAGTCTATAAGTGTACTTCATGGTGTTTCACTAATAAAAAAAAATGATAAAAAAAAAAATAAGGTGCAGGGAGCAAAAGACCCAAGGAAGAAATTTTTCAAATCGATACATCAAAGCGCCCAGTTCCTTTCCATATTCCGACCAACAGTGACCAAGCGCCCAAGTCTGGATGGCTGGACAACCACCACTTTGAAACGAAATGTCCAGAGGTCCAAGGAGCCTGGTAATCGGTATTGCTCAAGGTTACCAGGAAGAGTCTGGGCGGGCCGCAAATCTCGGCGCTGGGCGTCCAATCAGCGCCCGTGACTCCACGCTGACCCCGGAGTCACGTGCCGGCCAAGATGGCTGCCCGCAGGCGGACGGGGCAGCCCCGGCCTTGAGCCGCGGAGTGGGCAGGAAGAGCGAGGAAGCGAGGCTGAGGTACTGGGGCGCGGGGCCGAGCCTGGAGGGGAGGGAGGGGAAGCCCTGGAGCCGGCGCGGTCCGCCCGCCGTCACCTTCCGCACCGGGCCTTGTGCGCGTTAAGCTCGCGAAAAGGTTGTTTAGTGTGTCCGAGGCCGGAGAGTTCCCGGAGGCCCCGCTTGCTCGTCGATGCGAAGCATGCTGAAGCGGTGCCTTTAAGGAGGGCGTGCTGTTTCTTCTTTTGTTAATAAGAGTTTTTCCTTAGCAGTACTGTGGCACTTGCCCCCGCGTGGTTCATCGATTTGCTCCAGCGGGCCCAGTCACGTCTCCGTGGTGAGACTTGTTCCTGTGTTACTGTGTTTCCTCCCCGGGAGCTTGCCGGGCTCTGCCCCGCGGGAGGGAAAAGGACCGACTGCGGGATGTTGTGGTTCAGAATTTTTCCGAACTAAAGGTGACTTTTTATAGTCGCACTTTAAAAATGACATGGAACTTAGAACTGAACCAGTCGGCAGGACATAGAACCGAAAACCAGAACTGGCACTGGGTTTGAATTGAAGTTCATTCAGTTGAGGCACACGCGGCTATGGATCTCCTGAAGTTCAGTGTCACCCTACAGCAACCGCCCAGCGCACACACAGAATCGCTCAAAACTCCCGTTGGTCGCATTGTGTCTGCCAAGTCACTGGAACCTAGGTAGTTCAAGGCCAGGAAACCAAGACGTAAATTTCTAGCCCCGCTTTGTATTTTCGTTAATTTTAAGCGGCGATAAGGAATTTCAGTGTATTCAGCATTTTCCAAATGGTACCGTTGTGCCTAATGTTATAATCCATATCATCAGATTTCATAAAAACCGTGTTGTCTTCATTATTTCTGTATGATTGCTTTAATTAACTCTTTTATTGCAATACCTTGGTCTAATGAGGTAAGTCTTCGTGTCAAAACTCATCATTGACTGTCCCCCTATTCTCACATTTACTCCAATTAAGACAAGCATCAACTAACTACTGGGCTGGGGTAGTGTCTAGAGCTTGTTTTCTGTATAGCTAACCCATTAAGAAATTTCGTTCTAAAGCGTTTTTCAAAAATTAGTTGACAACGACCATATGTGACTTGCAAAGCCTAAAGTATTTACTTTGCTGATCTCTGCCCAACTGAGTTGTGACCCATATGGGATCATATGCCCTTTTAAAGGTTTTAAAATAGATTTATTAAAGATTTTATACCTATTTTATATGCTTATATTCCTGGGGTTGTGTAAAATTTTTTCAGGTAAAAAGGTATCACAAGTGGAAGAACTTGGAGCACTGCTCTAGAGTACACCTAGAACTGAAACTAAGTGGTATCTATTTTCTATCTACTGAACCCTGAACTACTTCATGTGGTTGTATTGAAGCTGGATATAATTTATACTTGTCAAAAAGCAGTTTGTTGCCCTGACTTTATCTTACAGCCAGTATCAACTTTATAGCCAGCAACAGAGCCCCATCTTTCTTTTAGCTAGTATGGGTACATATTACACCTTGGTTGTAATTCCTATTCTACTTCCCTAATTATAACAGTTAAGCATATATTTACTTGGCTTTATTCCTTATGAAGAGCCTGTTCAAACCTTTTGCTTTTTTAAAAATGATTGCCTTTTGTTATTACTGAGGTAGCACTGTAGCACTGTCCTCCCATTGTTCATCGATTTGCCAGAGCGGGTACCACTAACGTCTCCCATCATGAGACTTGTTACTGTTCTTGGCATATCAAATACATCTCAGTAGCTTGCCAGGCTTTGCCGTGCGGGCGGTATACTCTCGGTAGCTTGCTGGGCTCTCTGAGAGGGGCAGAGGAATCACACCCGGGTCATAGTTTGTTATGTTCTGGGTACAGTCCCTTTGTGAGTTATATTGCGAATATTTTCTCTCGTAATTATCTTTAATTGATGAATGCCAGTTTTGTTTTGTTTTGTTTTGTTTTTTCTGGTCAAGTGTGTCTGAAGTCCTGGGGCCAGTCCCAGATACTTGAATACTGGGCTAATCTGCCGGGTGGGAGAAAGCAGCAGCAGAGCTCCATTCAGCAATACTCCAGAGTCCGTGAGGTGCTTGGGGTTGATCTTGAGTGTGTACTATCTCCTACCCATCAGATTCTCAATTTTGTTAACGTTAGTTTGCTTCTTTTTCTGAATCAAATGTTTCCTACTAAGTTTTATATATTGTGCCTTTCATGTTCTGGGTTTGTTTTTACTTAGTATTTTTTGGGGGGGGGAGTATGGTATATATCCATTTATTTTTTCAAGATTGTGAATTCAACCGCTAGTTTTAATGTTTATGGCCTATGGAAGACTTTTGTGTTTTTCTAGATACATTATTGGAAATAAAGTTTAACTCATTCTAAGGCTCAAGATGGAAAATCACGAAGCAGATGGTACTGCCAAGGAAAACTCGATTTTCAATATTATAACCAGAAAAATAAATCAGCTTCCAGAAGCAGAAAGGTAAGATCCCGTCTTAATTTGAAGCTTCTTTTATGATAGCCACGGATATTGCTCAGTAGTAGAACTAGGTCTAGACCAAAAAAAGGGATTCCATCCCTCCATCCTCCCCACTCCCTACCCTATTTTGTTTTGGGGTCACACCTGGCTGCGCTCTCTGTTCAGGGAATCACTCTAGCAAGGTTTTGGGGGACAATACAGGGTGGTGGGGATCAAACCCAGGTTTGCTGCATTTGAGGCAAGAGGCAAGCATTCCTACTTATTTCCTATCTCTTCAGCACCTGCCCTCTATCTTTACCATGTTAATTTTCACCACTAATACGTTAAATTGTCCTGATTATTTGGAATACCAGAAGAAAGAAAATAGCCTTTTGGCCTTGATAAAAACAGACACAGAAGTATTAAGTTTTCCTAGGCTAGAATTCATTTCCTGGGATATCTGATGGCTCTCAATTTTCCCACTGATTCATAGTCAAAAAACATTTACAGACTCATTTAAAAATAACTGAACTTTGTGTGGAGAGATTGCTTAGTCGGCTGAGCATGTACTTTGGAAGAACAGTTGAGAAAAAGTGATAATGCTGGTGACTGGAGATGGCAGGATGAGTTAAGATGAAAAGATGAGGTGAAAAGATGAGTTAAAATACATTTTCCATGTATAATCTTCCTGTCTTATAAAAGAGCGAGAAATAATGAAATGCTTTCATTTATTTTCTCAGCAAGGAAACCAAAGCAGAGCATCTGGGTGGATAAGTGATGGGTGCTAATAGCCTCAGTGCAATTGGAGTGGTGCTTTGTTCACTAAAGTTCACTTAAAGTAGATTTCTGAGAGCACCAATTTTTCTTTCTGCAAAGATGCAGAGGAAGTTGGAGGTCCCAAATGTGTCCGGTAGCCTCTGAAACCATGGACAGTGTTGAGGAGGTTGGGGAGGTTTCACATACAGGCTATTCATTCCACCCCCTCTTCCCCCTACTAAATATTTTAATTCCCTGAGCTAAATTACAAAAAACTTCCATCAAAAAGAGCTCCTTTCTGTTGAGTAGAGGGAGAGTCAGAAAGCAGAAATGGGATAGCTAGCTAGAAATGCACAAGCTCTTTGGAAACGAAGTGCCCTAAAACACTGATGCCTGCAGAGGTCCCTTGGTTTCTAGTTTTTCTTCCTGTTTCTCCTCAGTTACCTACGTTTGAATCCTGATCAGTTACTAGATATATTTAATTACATAAAGGTCATAAAAAATGTTCTGGTCTATACAATTATTTCCTATGCCATATTTTGATTGAGAATTTTTTTCTTGTATTTTGTGTTTGCTCGAGCGGGCCCAGTAACGTCTCCATTGGAGACTTTGTTGTTACTGTGTTTGGCATATCAAATACTCTCGGTAGCTTGCCGGGCTCTCCGAGAGGGGCGGAGGAATCGAACTCGGGTCGGCCATGTTGGCCGCTTGGTTCATGTATCTAGTTTTTGTCTTGCTAAAAGAAAAAAAAGGCAGGTTTGGCACTTTTGAGGAAAATGTACAAACTTGTACTTATCAAATTAACTCAAATATAACTTTTTGAGGTGTGGGGAGGGCAACACATCCAGCTGCACTCAGATTTCACTACTGACAGGGCTTGGGAGGACCATATTTGGTACCAGGAATTGAACCTGTTTTGATCACTTACAAGGAAAGTGCCTCACCCAAACTGTACTACTTTCTCAAAAATGAATTTAAAGTCACAGAATAGTAAAGCGTCATTGGGAGATGGCAAGCTGCTGGTCAAATTCCAGTAACATTTTAAATTTTGTTTTAAATTTATTCTCCATTATTATAATGTAGACATTGATACTTGTAGTAGTGATGTATTCATATACTGTATAATATTGATGTCAGTACTATTTGACTGGTTCCATTTATGGCTAATGTGGAAATAGATTTCACAGATTAAGATGAAAATATTTTTCATCTTAACGAAGCAATTATTTCCTACTTCCTCAGTTTACACAAAAATTACATTCATACATTTACATTTACTGCCACTATTTGGAAGTACTCTGGATCAGAAGCTTCCCAACTAACTTGGTCTACAGCCCTCTTTTCAGAATAAAATTCATTTCTGGAAATATATGTGGGGGATGGGGAGGCTCGACCCACACCCAGACGTTCTCAGGGGCTTATTTCTGGCTCTGTGCTCAGTAGTCACTCCTGGTGGGGTTCAGGGGACCATATAGAATGACAATGAATGAACCCAGGTCAACTGCATGTGAGGCAAGGGCCCTGTCAGCAGTACTCTCTCCCTGGCCCCAGGAAATTTACCTTTAAGGGAATAGAAAGTGTCCCCCAGAAGTACCTCAGGCTACCACTAGGCTGTAATGCACACTACAGGAAACAATGCTCGATTCTCAGAACTCTTTAAAGTTTCTGTCATAACTGGCTTAGTTTAAATCTTGTCTTTTTTTTTAATGTCCTGTAATAAATTATAGCAGCTTGGTGAGACAGCTCAAAGGCCCCAGTGTGCATTCTCTGCATGCCTGGGGGGTGATCCCTGGCACCATAGTTCCCGGGTTCCCCCAGCTGAGCCAGGAATAGCCTCAGAGCACAGCAGGATGTAACCCAGAAATCCTTTTTTCCTCGATAATAAATTGTTAACACTGAAGGCATAAAATAATTATCTTCAATAGTCAAGTCCACTGCATGTAAGTACTCAATGTCAGACATCATCATGATTACAAAGTGAGTCAGCAGTACTGTACTGTAGCACTGTCCTCCCACTGTTCATAGATTTGCTGGAGTGGGCCCAGTAATGTCTCCATTGTGAGACTTGTTACTGTATTTGGCATATCAAATACGTTACAGGTAGCTTGCCAGGCAAAGTTACAGGTAACTTGCCAGGCTTTGCCGTGCGGGCGAGATACTCTCGGTAGCTTGCCGGGATGGACTGAAGAGTCAAAATTGGAGGATTTCTAATATCCAGCAATAGTTCTTCACATTTTGTCTCCAACTTAGAAGTGCAAATAACATTTATTTTTAAATAATGCATACTTGGTTTAAAAACCAGTTTTACCACTGCCTTAAAGTATTTTATTTTTATTTCAGTGGATTGGTCATGAAGCACCTAACAGAACATCCTTTACATGTTAGTACTTTTGCCCCTCAATCCTGACTCTTAAGGCTTCAGAAGAATGAAAGTACATTAGCCTAACCTTACATAACTGCCCTTTATACATTAAGTGCTCTTGAAATAAAACATTTCATCTTCATATGCATTACTTTCACATTATAGTATGCAAGTCTCCCATAAGTATCAATGATTGTAAAATAGTTATCACTTTAAACATCATGATTGCTAAAGCCCTGGAGAGGCATCCATGTAAGACTTTTTGAAGCTTTTCCCTGCTATCCATTTCAGAAATTTTCTCTATCAATACCTTTACAAAATTACAAAATGCTGTTACTACAGTATTAGTAACAAAATCTAATGTATTACTGCACCCTTAAATGTCAACTAAACTCAAGTCTTTTAGAATATACATCTGATTTTAAAAAATTATTTTTAAAAAAAGGTTTTACGAAGCTATAGATGTTATATCCTGTAAAGTCCTGATAAATTCTTTAATAATATACCACATAAATTGTTAAGAACTCCCACTCTCACTGGGGGTCAAATAAAGTTACTATTTTTCCTCTCATCTGTTCAGGAACCTACTTGAACATGGATCCACGTATGTTGGAATTAATGCTGCTCTCAGTGGCCTAATAGCAAATAGTCTCTTTCGACGTATCTTAAATGTGACACAAGGACGTTTAGCTTCTAGCTTACCAATGGCAGTGATCCCATTTTTCACAGCAGATGTGTCTTACAAAGGTTTTATAAATTTACCTTTAAGCACAGGTAAGTTGTTTTATTATCATCAATCCTCAAACATGAATGAATGTCAAGTGGCTACATGCACTACTGCAGTCAGTGTTCAGTTAAACGAAAGTTTTCAGGACAGGATATAGCTCAGCAGAGGAGCACAAGCTTTAGGATGGGATTGTGGAGTAACAATTAACATCAGAGTATCAAGCAAGTAAGATGCTTACACAGCAATTGCAAATACGTTAATCATTTTAACTTTCCCACAGGGCTCTGAAAATAATATTGCACCTTTTCTTTGTTTTTGACCAACACCCATCCATGCCCAGTGGTCACTCAGGGGACCACCATAGCCCATGTCATAGATGGCCTTATATTAAAACTTTTTAGTTCTTTAGATAATAAATTTCTAAAGCACTAAATTTACATTTGCAAGTACTAAAAATACATGGTAGATTTTGATCATTATCTATCCTGGGGGCTTTGAGGTAGCTAATAATCATGAAGAAAAGCGGTTTCAAATAAACATTACGAGTGGTGGTGGTGACAGTCCAATTACATTCATAGTTGTTTAAACTGGGTTTTCAATCTGCCTTTTAGAATTGTGTTTGTAATACAGCCTGAATATTATCTGTAATACAACTAAGGGAGTTTAAATAAGTTCTGCTTGATTACAGTAACCTTCATTTCACAACTAATGTGTTTTTTTAGGTGACCTGAATTGTGAAACCTGTACTGTAATACGGGGAGGACTGGTTGGTCTTGTCTTGGGTGGTCTGTATCCTGTTTTCCTGGCTATCCCTGTGAATGGTGGACTAGCAGCCAGGTAGGATTCCCTTCTTTTCCATAATCATTGAAAAGCTTTAATAACTTATCAGTGGCTAACTACAAAAAGTCCAACTTAGAAACAATATATTTTCTATTTTTAAGGAAGTGTTACCTGTTTGAGTAAGATTGTTTTGTCATGTTAATCATCTTAAGAATTTGAAAACAGTTCTAGAAATTGATCAAACTGTGCTTCTTGATGTGTTGGTCAGACTCTTTAATCTGTGTAATATGTACACAAAGATACAAAAAAACAAACAGTATGCCTGATTTGAAAACTACATCATATAAACAATATTCTTAAAGATTCACTTAGTGAAAATTATGTCAGAAAATGTCTGGCTATGAGCCTGGAATACCACACATACACAAAAAAAAGTTTGATGAACTTTTGAAACAAGCAGTCAAAGTCTCCAGAGGTACCACAAAGAAAAGGATAAAAGAAAACCGGAGTGTAGGTTTTAGGACTAATTAAAATTGAAAATTAGCAGTATTAATAGTCTTTTGCCTAAACTAGTTTTAAGACTTTTGGGGATTGATGTACTAAGTGGCAAATGTAGGTATAACTAATCTCTAATGAACTATTTCAATGTTTTCTTACAGGTATAGCTCAACTCTGCTACCTGAGAAAGGAAACATCTTGACTTATTGGATTGGAATTTCCAAACCTGTTTTTAGAAAGATGCTATTTCCCATGTTACTTCAGACTATGTTCACAGCTTACCTTGGATCTAGACAATACAAACTACTTATAAAGGCTCTTCAGTTACCTGAAACTGGTGGAGACATTCAATGATTGTGAAGCAAAAATAAAATTGTAAAAATAACATGTCTAGTATATGATGTAGAACTGTATTTATAAACTAGTTTTGGAACCCACAACATAAGGATACCCACTTTAACTTCTCTAATATGTATAATATTGTCTCTTCCACCTTGCTACTTCTGCTTTAGGTTAAGTTTGGTGTTTAATGCAAGGGGAAGAAAATAGAGCACTTGCAATATGTACCTCATAAGGCCAAACGAGTGAAATGGGCTGAAAATGTGTAAATACACACAAATCTTAGTTTCACCTTTTTCATTTATATTAACTGCAGAACCTATCAACATTTTAACCATCTTCTTCACAGAGGTATAATCCAGTATTCAGCTTAAGCTATTTTATTATGGTTACCTACTTCAAAGGTTACCTTATTAGGAGCCTAAGAAAGCTATATTCTTAAGTCCTCTAAAACTGTGGTGAATTCTACATCTGAATTGTTCATCAGTTCCTTTGGAACTATATAGATGAGTGTACTCTTTCTTAGCTGTGTGAGGATTAAGGTAATTGATTTCTCATCCCCCATTTTATCAGTAACGTTAACTCAAGATTGGCATTATATAATGTACTCTAAGTTGCTCAATTACTTCGCATACCAGGAATCAAATTACTATTACTCCCAATGTTCTTGGTTTGTTTTCAGGTGGTTGGGGGGATCACATCATACCAGAGATTCAAAATGGGGTCAAAACTTGCAAGACAAATGCCGTAACTATACTGGATTTTCAGACCCAGATAATTTTAATTTTTAACCTATCATGTTCCTTTTAGATTTCTTTTCCCAGTTTTCAAAAAATCAGTGACAACACCTAAATCAGCATTGCCCAAGAGAACTTCATGATGAAAATATTTCGTATCTGAGAATGAAGGCAATATCCATATTAGCTACTATTGGATTTTCATTAATGTAAATATTTTTGCTACATGTGCTAATGGACAGTTAGAGCATAGGTTCCCAAACTTATTTGGTCTATTACCCCTATTTAAAAGAAAAGAAAATCACCCTTCCACCTTAGAAATAACCTTTTATTTAGTTCAACCAACAGCCACCCTCCCCAAGCACACCAAAGGCTAGGGCCAGCCCCATCTTTCCAGCATTCTCCCTCTCCACCACCAGAGGGCAGGAAGTATCACAAACCTTGGGAAGTAGGCTTACAATAAACTTTTTATGACTGCCATCCATCCCAGTTTCTTTCCTGTGGTCCCTTTTCCTACTGGTCGGGACCCCAGGTCTTGTGCTATGGCGCCTGTGGAATATCCTAGCTGGCTGAGAACCACTGATCAGGACAAACAATATTACATGCCACCTACATCAAATAGTCTGCCACCTAGAAATGCAGCTTCCTTGAAAGAGGCTTTCACGAGGCAGGGTGGGGAGGGAGTGGTGGGAAGGATACTGGGATCACTGGTGGTGGAGAATGAGAACCAATAGGGAGATGGCTACCTGATCATTGTATGACTGAAATGCAAGCAGGAAAGTCTGTAAGTCTGTAACTGTTCCCCACAGGGATTCACTAATTGGATTCACTAATTGGAAAAAAAAAAGGCTTTCAGTTTCTCCAGAGAAATAAACATGTACATTTGATTGAAAACTCAAGTGAAATAAACAATATTCAGTTTTCGAGACAGCAAAGACTTTTTTCTTTCAACAGGTCCCTAATCTGGTGTACCTTACTAAATTTATATAAGATATCCCAATTACAAAGCAAAAGAATCTGAATTTTACTATGGATATTTTCTGGGTTCTAGAATTATGGGTAATTTTTATCTCCATTCCTTGCTGGATCTCCCTCATTTTCTATATGGAACATACTTGTCAACCAGTAAAAATGTTAATATAAAGGAGGGGGAGGGGAAACCTGTTTATTTTAACAGTGAAAGTACCAGATGAAGCTCTCTTGCCCTAAATTATTTTCCTTATATTCTGTCACTTTTAATAAAAAGCATTTCCATACCATTAGTAACTATTAGGTTTCACTGTAAACTGAAAAAAATCTCTTTAACTCAACAAAACTTCAAATCTTACTAAATTAGGAATAAAGGTTAAAATCATGGCAATGAAAAAAGCAAATTAGCAAACCAACTTTCTATTAACATGTTAATTTTTTTCCTATTACAGGATCTAGTTACTTTCTGAAAACTTTTATGTTATCTCACTTAAACTTTTTGCATTCCAAAACAAAATCCACGTTCAACCTAGGTCAAAGTGAGGGCTCAATCTGGTATTACAAAAATGATTAGGAAAGACTGGTAGAGTATACAGAAATTACTCAAATTCAAATATGAAAAAACGCTGCCCTGGCCATACAAAATATACTAAGTCTCTAATCAAAGGCCCCTCCCCCTTTTTGATTCCTGGCTTAGCTGGCAATTGTTTCTGAAGGACAAATAGCATGGAAAATGACCTGGCAAAATACAAAAACAAAGATCTGTGAAGGTCTCAAAATTCAGTATTGATGAGTGTGGGGGAAAAAAATGCCTGAGTTTCAAGAGTTATCAAGTCACCTTAAAAATCTAATTCATAAATATGAGTGAGACCTATCTCAAAAATGCTGAACCAGGGGTCCTGGACAGGGGTAACAGTACAGCAGGCAAGGCACTTGTTTTGCACATGGTTAACCCAGGTTTAATCCCTGTACCATATATGCAAACCATGAGTCCACTGGGTGTGATCCAACCCTCCCCGCCCCCCCTCCCCTCCACCCCGGCCCAGCTCTGAACTAGGCAATCACATAATTTTAAAACATTATCAGTGAATTGTCCAGTACTCTATCAAAGTACTGTGGGTCACAACACACAGTGCTAATGTCTAGTCTTTATGGAAATACATCCAAGCAGCACATTTATACTGTAGGAGCGTCACATAAGCACAGACCATTGGGGATTGCAGTCTGGGATCATGGGCGCTCAAAATTATATAAGATACTGGGTGAAGTTAACAAGGTTTTTCTGTTTTACATAATATCATTCAATAACCAAACTACTGTTAATATGATGTATCATTCTAACAGGGGAAAAAAAAAGGAAGAAAGAACCTATCTTCTACCCCCTCCAGTTTCTATCATCTGCACACCTTGAAAAGGAGTCAGATAAATACAGTAAATACCTAATTAGAACATGTGAAAGAATGTATAAACATTAGCCAACAAAAATGACATAAAACCATCTAGAGCTTTACGAGTTTTTTTCACACTTGAAATAAAGTGGAAAAAACAATTAAATTCAGTATCACATTCCACACACACACACGCACGCACACACACACTAATAATAAAACCCACTCCCATCATCTAGAATTACTGAAACCCGTCCAGGACATTAGAGAAAATTTTAAATGGTAGAAACAATTACCAATCATTAGAAACCTCAAAATAATCCAAAAATGCCAAGTAATCAGAGAAAGCTTAGGAAGACAAAGCCTCAGAATTCAAACGTCCTAGCACTGCCCTGAATTCTGATTATCTACTGACATGCTACATCATAAATAACTTTTCCAAAGATATACAGACAAATCAGTACATCTTTAAAAAAAAAAAACTACTCTTTATAGTTAAGAATTTTATATTAACTTTAATAGTCTCAGTAAGATCCGTGTTTTAGCTTTTGTGTTCCAGGAAATAAATAAATAACTTAGAATATGCCTTGTGATCACTGATAGCCTGCTTATGTAATTCTATTCCACTGTATGTAATAACACAGACTGTGCTCTTGATCGTGTAAAGTAATATTCCTAAGTGAAATACTATTCTCTTCTCCAGTGAGTACAGTTTTTAAAAGGTAAGCAAATAGAACTGAGTATCACTCCCATGAAAGACAAAGAAAAAAGAAGTGTAATTTCATTCCAAATTAACTTAAGTCTCATATATGTCTATTAAGTCTTTCAAGGATTCCAGAGAATCTTTTCATATCTCCATTTCTGGAAAGTGAAATTAGAAGTAATTTGGGAACTTGAAAATGGCATTCATTTTTTTTTTCAGCAGATGCCAAATTTTTGACCGACATGGCTCCCACAATTACTCTGTTACCATCAGTCCAGTCAGTTAACAGGTTGTAGGAAAAGATTCGTTTTTTGCAGACACTGCTAAGCTGTTTAAAGAGAAGAGAAAGAGATTAATTTAGTGATTATAAAATGCACATTTAAAATATTTCGAACACTTTTTTTAGGATTATATCAGGTGTGATTACATTTTAACAGACGTGGATTTTATATCTGGTCACGAAGTGCAGAAACACTACATCAGCATGATAAAAATAGGTCAGTATGATGTGTTAGTTTAATTACTGTATGAGTCCTGTCACCATCAGAAGACAAGTATTTCAAAGCTAAAAGTTCTGCATCATTTTGCCATAGAGGCACAAAGAGGTTAAAAAACCAAAACAATCAAAAAAATCTCCTGAATATTAAAATTTTTTTAATCAATTACAAGATCACTAATACTAAAACTTTTAAAAGAGCCCATATTAAATTCTGGAAACCTTTGACTGCTAAGTCATTCAGAACACAATTTTCTAAAAATAGTAAGACAACAGTTTCATATTAATCATAACTTTTTTTAATTAACAAGTAGTGAATAGGACACTTTTAAAGATATTGTTTACTACACACTGAAATAAACAGATCTATTGCAAATTCAAAAACTCAACATTTACAGTAAAATGTGCTTACACATAAATATGACCAAATTTTACTTAAAGCCCCTGGTTAGATAGGTCCTAAATACATGCGGTACCATGTAAAAAACAAGACCATGAAGTTGATGTAAAAATGACAAAATCACTAAAGTCACCAAAATTAGGGGGGGAAAAAAGGAAAAGAATGAAATGAAAACTAAGACAGTTAAAACACAAGAAATCTAACAAAGCAGCTTTAAAAATAGGCAACACTAATCTCCATTTTCAAAAGTTCTTAATCAAGTATTACCCCAAAATGCCATTTATAAAATGACAATCTAAAAATCTACACTTGGAATTTCAAAGCATCCCAATTCAGAAACCTTTGACTACCCCAGCCCCAAAACTTCGAGTAATGCAGGGAAAATAGCACAGACATTAGGAAGAAAATATTCCAAGGGAATGCCATTTTTTTTCTTTTTTCTTTTTTTTTTTAGTAAAATGCACTTACTGCTGCTTCCAGAACCTTTTAAGACCCACAGTCAGAATTAACAACAATCATTTTTTTTCTATTTTCATCATTTTCCAATGTCATGTTAGAGATGAATAAATTCTTTGAGCACATAACTGAAAGATCAACAAACCTGGTTTTATTATGACACCATAGTTTTGTCATTGGTACTGCACAAAATTATATACAAAGAAATAGATACAAAATGTTCAAGTATTAATTTCAATTCAAGGCTTCTGTTTCAAAAAGCTACATTTAACATATTCCATAAAGATAGCACAAGTTAGTCATTTCAAATAACTTTTCCAACTACTTTTGGTTTATATATATCTATATCTATATCTCCCTATATAGATATATATATATAAAATTCAGTAGGCACTAAAAATTCATGCAGCTGCATTGTGAGGGGCTTGGTCCTGCACTTGTATAAGCAGGTTCATCACTCCAGGTTTTGAGTTTGGCTATTACCCATTCATGCTCAAGTGCAATAGATGTTTTTTACAAAATATGCTGTGATGCACTGAAACCAGAGACCAAGTTAGGTCTCAAACTGTATTATCTAGCAACAGAACATTTACAGTTGTGCAAGAACAAGGATTCCATTTTCATAACCAAATAACAACAAAATAAAACATTTTATGTGTAAGATAACTTACATCTTTGGACTGCTGGAAAATACTTAATCATGAACAGTTCAAAATAAAAGACAGCAGAAGCCCTGATATTACCTCTTTTTCCTCATTTCTTATACTACCTTTTAAAATAAAGCAGGAAATGTGGCCAGCAGCTGGTCCCGTCTCTTCTGCCCCAACAGCTGTATCCACTTTAGCACAAAGAAAAACAAGGATACTAAATACGTATAACTTTATCAAACAGTGATGTTTCACAAAGAATTTAATGCCTTTTTTCCTGAAGTACATTGTTAACTCAAGTCACACACTTGGAGGACAGCAAATAGGAAAGAATTCAAGGGAAGAGTATGTCCTGTCTTCGGAAAAAGTGTCAATTGTGTCATTAAGTAGCCAGAAGCCCTCCATTTTCAAAGCAATTTGCAAATAGGACAAATACCCTTGATATACGGAGGATAAGGATTCTTTGTGAAGCCTCACTTTACACGTTTTCATTCACATTTCAAAGCCTTCAATATCTTAATCATACAGGAATTTAATCTAAAATTTTAATACAACAAAAATAAAGGTTTTCGACAATTTATTCATACTCAGTGATAGGGTAATCACTGTGCTGGTCCTCAAAGGTTCCATTTACCATTCTTAGTCTTCCTCCAGTTAACTAACGCGGGAGTCTGACAGGCATGTTAATTTCCAACCTTTCTACCAGTGACAGTCAAATCTGTCCGTCTTAAAAGGTATCATTTCTAGATCTTCTACTGAAAACTAAGAGAGCATTCTTGGAGATATTTTAAGATTTCTGCCGGCTCCAGAGAAGTGACTATCGTTAACTACCACACTTGTGCATGCCCCAGACTTCTTAGGAACCTCTGGAAAGTTGCTCTAAAACTGGAATTCCAATTTGCACCGTGTACAACTCGGAACTTCCATTCAACTTCACCTGTGTCACTGTCTCCAAACTGTTATCGCTATTAGCAGCTGTCAGTGTACAGTTGGAACCGATGTCGTCCAAGGCCATGTCCACACTGGGGACAGAAGAGCTAGGTACGCGCAAGTCTGAACAGGGGACACGTTCACAGCTATTTCAACCGGAAGAAGCATCTTCAAGCCATGACTGACCAGCACGAGTCTGTTTCCAGGGTGGACAGGGCCCAAAGCAGATCTGCCCTCCCGCCTTCCGCCACACAAGAGAAGAAAACCCCACACACACACGCACACTTGAGACGTTGCCCATTAAAGTAGACCAAGCAGCCGAGCATGAGCGTTACGTGAAGAGATGGGTCCTTACCAGGTCGGGAGGCGGGAACGACCGTGCTGCGACCCCTACCACGGAGCCTGGCAGGAAGGAAATCACCTAAAAAAGAAACTGTCAGAGAGATTTAATAGTCACAGGGTATCATCGGGAGCGGGCTACAGTGTCACATTCATGCTCTGGGCCCACCGCTTAAGACGCAACGCTACTTCTCCCCTCCTCTGCCGCGAGTCCGGCGCCGGGGCCCCGCGGGCGGGGGGCGCCGCGGGCGGGGGGCGCCGCGGGCGGGGGCGGGCGCGGGCGGCCGGACCCTACACTTTCAGCGAGGCCGCCGCCTTCCGGGCGCAGGCGGCGCAGAACTCCACCGACACCTTGTCCCGGTCCACGTGCAGGCACACGCCCCCGGGCGCGTCCTCGTCGGGGGGCGCCTCGGGCGGCCGCGCGCCCAGGGGCCGCGCGTAGTCGTGGTCGCAGGGCGCGTCGCGCAGCAGCGACGAGGTGAGGCGCAGCCCCACGCCGCTCAGGCGGCCCAGCAGGCGCGCCAGGCCGCTCTCGTTGGCCAGCACGGCGCGCAGGTAGCGGCTCTCCTCCTGCAGCGCCTGCACGCGCTGGCCCAGCTCGCGGTTCTCGGCCCGCAGCTCCTGGTTCTCGGCGGCCAGCCCGCGCACGCGGCTCTCCAGCCCCATCACGTACTCCTTCTTCTTCAGGCGGTTGAGGCGCGCCGCCGCCGCCGCCGCCTTGCGCGGGCTCCGCGCGCCCGCCAGCCCGTCGCCGCCGCCGCCGCCGCCCTTGCGCCGCCGCTTCTCGTCGCCGTCCCCGCCGCCGCCGCCGCCGCCGATGCCGTTGAGCAGCCGCTGCAGCAGGTCGGCGAAGCGCTGCATCTCGGCGGCCGCCGCCTCGTCGTCCTCGTCCGCGCGCCACGGGCCGCCGCCCTCAGGGCCGCCGCCCGACGCCGCCCGCGGCCCCGGCGAGCCGGGCCCGGGCTCCGGGTCCAGCAGGTCGGCCAGCTCCAGCCCCGACAGGAAGTCCATGTCCTCCGCCTCCGCCCCCGGGACGCGGCCCAGCGCCCCCTCCGCCATCTCCCGGGGGCGCGGCGCGCGGCCCCCGCCCTCGGCCCCCGCCTCGCCCTCGTCGGCCGGCGCCGGGCTGGCGCTGCGGGCCGGGGAGTCGGCGCCGGACGCCGCCAGCAGCTGGCTCAGGCTGTGCCGCATCGAGCGCGGGGGCCCGGGGCCGCGGCGCCGCCCGCCCCGGGCACCTGGACCCCCCGCGCCGCGGCGGGGGGCGCGGAGGCGGCGGAGGGAGGAGCGGGGCCGGCGCCCGGGCCCGACGATGACTCGCCGCGCCGCCAGACAACGGCCGGCCGGAAGTCGGACGCCGAGCCGCCCCGCCCGCGGCCCTCGCGCGCGGCCCCGGCCCCGCATCGCGAGAGTTCGGGGAGCTCCGGGACTGGGGGAGCCGGGGCCTGCGGTGACGTCACGGGAACCGCGGCAAAGAGGACCCCGGCCCGGGCTTCCCGGGAGGGCGGGCTGGCCGCGCTGACCCCGCTTCCCTTCCCCGGCGCCCGCTCCCAGCCGCTCGCACTCGGAAGGCCAGTTAGAGACGCGATGTCTTTTATTGTTATTATGATTTATTAGTTTATTATTAGATTATTATGATTTATTGTTATTAGTGAATCGCAGCGAAGTGCGGTTACAGGCTTACCAACTCTCCTGCTTGCCTGTCAGTGATACAACCCCGAGTGCACAAAAAGTCTTGACGAAGAAAACTCTCGCCAGAGCCCGCTTAAGATGCTCCTTCCCCGTTCCATCACCATACAGTCATCTTGAGACTCAAGCACGGTAGTAGGATCATTCATAAAGGTTTTTCCAAGTTTATTTCCAAACGCGCAGAACACGTGAAAAGACAGTATTTATTCCAAAATACTACCCTCGTCCCTTCAACGGTGAAACATTTTGCCACGCGTGTTTCATCTGCGATTGCTTTTGCAGACAGCGATTGCTTCTCACTTTTCCTAATTCATGGAAAATACCTTCTTCCCCACCCCCCAACCCCCAATCATTCTAGCTGCAGACAAGGCAGATCTTTCCAACCTGCTCGAGTGAGCATCTTCAAAGGCATAAACATTCTCCTTCGTAATCATACTGTTAGCATAGAGAAAATTAAGTTTTCTAATTATTACCCAAAACATAATAAAATCTCACTTTTTATCACTCAAAGAAATACTTTCTTTTGAGCCAGGATTATTGCATCTCCTTGTGCAGTTCATTCCCTCATCCCCCCTCCGACAACTAAAATTATCCTTTATGCTTTTTACTTTTCCTTAATATTGAATAATTTTTGAAGAGAGAAGGCCAGTTATCTTGGCGGCAAATGAAGCAGATTCTATAAGTACCTGTTTCCTTCTGGTGTATATCTTGTTCCTCTGGCCCATCAGGCTTCTGAAATTTTGAGTGGTCAGAATTAGATTCGAATTAAGCTGGACAAAATGAGTATAATCTTTAAAAGAAAATCCAGTGAAAAGCTACAGGAGATGCAAAGATTAGCAACTCCAAAGGGAAGAAAGGTTTGTTTTAGTATGCTGGACATAAAATCTTTCAGTGGTGCAAGTTGAGTCAACAAACAAAACTTCTTGGGACTGAAAATGGGACTCAGTTGGGAATGCTGGGGAAGGGACACTGGAGTGCCTACTGAACAGTGACTACCTCCTCCCCAACATTTCAGGGAGTGGCCAGTATAACTAACAAAAAAAATTGGAAAGAAACTTCTTGTCCATCCATAGAGTAGTTACAGATTCGTTAAACACTTTCCCAGTTCTTATAGGTCTTAAAGAGTCTTCTCTACGGAATTACAGTAGATACCCTCCAAAAGAGTTACCTTTAAGTAGGATTTATCAGAGATACATAGAAATCAAGTTTCAGGAAATCTGAACACTGATAGAATTCCAATGTGGAAAAATACCTGACAAAAAGATTGCATTCATCTGGGGAACATAAAGTAACAAAATAGGAGACTAATACCCAAGAATAGCCGAAATAAGTACCAGGAGGTTTACTCCATGGCTTGGAGGCCAGCCTCACATGCTAAGGGAAAAGGCAGCTCAGATAGAGAAGGGAGCACCAAATAAAGGGTGCTCCCAGGATGGGAGATGAGAGTAGACTATAGACCAAACATGATTGTCACTCAATGCCTCTTTTGCAAATCACAGCACCCAATAGGAGAGAGAGAACAGAAGGGAATGCCCTGCCACAGAGGCAGGGTGGGATGGGGAGGATGGGGTGTGGGAGGGATATTAGGATCAGTGGTGGTGGAGAATGGGCACTGGTGGAGGGATGGATATTCGGTCATTGTATAACTGAAACCCAAGCACAAAAACGGTAAGTCTACAACTGTACCTCATGGTTTCACCAGTAACAATAAAAATTAAAAAGAAAATAAGTTTTGCTTTAATAAATACTGGTTTATTGAAGAACAACTCTAGCTTCAACCTAAGGTAAAATACTAAATCTCAACAAAAACAATTCTTCAAAAGTGTACATGATCTCCCATATCTGTAACAATAAATTTTTAAAAGTCTCAAAACCATCTTAATCTATTAGAAAAAAAATTTGCTAAAGTAGAAGTGTACATAGTTTAAGGTAAAATATACTCACATCTGCCCTGAGTTACTAGTGTTTTAGTCTGGTTGATAATCTTACCCAAGTCATTACCTTTTAGGATTCAGGGACATGAGTTGATTTATTATACATTTTTCTAAATTATAATGTTTTTATTTAAGTACACTTGATTAAACATCCTTTCAAAGAGCCACAGTGATAGCTCAAGTGATTGAACACACTCTAGCATGAATAAGGTCATCAATTCTGAAAGAGAGAGAAAAAGTTTTGGGAAAGGGAGAGAGAAAGAGAAAGTCAAGTTTAATTAGAAAAAAAATGGAGCTTTAAAAAAGAAGGAAGTTTTACAATGTAGTCACCAGAAAACAAAAAATACAAATGAAGCAAGAGCAATTTTCAAAAAAATACCTTTTCCGGGGCTGGAACGATATCACAGTGGGTAAGGCATTTGTCTTGCACGCCGCCAACCTGGGTTCGAGCCCCAGGATTCCGTATGGTCCCCCAAGCACTCCAGGAGTAGTGCTTGGGGGACCATATGATCCTGAGTGCAGAGCCAGGAGTAACCCCTGAGCATCGCCAGGTGTGACCCAAAAAGCAAACAAACAAAATAAAGCACATTTCCCTCTGAGTCACCATTCTTCTTTTCTCTTCTGTTCTTTTCCTTTGGAAGAGTGAAAGGGAGAAAATGTAGCTGAGCGGTTCAAGTATAAAATAAAAAATTTAAAATGTGCTAATCTTCCTGGTGGCAGGCATCATTGCATTCCCGAAATTTTAGCTCTATTGTTTATCATGATGCCTTTAAAAAACAAAATTAAAAATACTGGTTTAATACATAAATAACAAATACGGGCATTTGTTATTCCCCTACTGTTTATTTTCTGCATATGAGTGAGATATATCACTCAGTAGTAACGAAGAGCAGGAGAACTGGTCCTTAGTAGGAATCTTACACCATGTGAGGAGGTAGGACTAGGTCAGAGAAAGGACCACAGTGACAATAAAGAAAACGGTCCACTGGACGAAGACGCTTGAAAAGAGGTAAATTGATCTGCGTGATATCCTATCAGTAATAGTGTTGTAAACCAGGCCTAAAGGAAAAAAAGTGCCTGCCAAAGGCTGGGAGGCAGGAGGGAAACTTGAGACATTGAAGAAGAGCCACGAACACTGGTGAAAGTATTGATGCTGAAATCTTGTACACCTGAAACCAATCAAGAATAACTGTAACTTTGTCATTCACGGTAATTCAATTAAAAAAAATTTATGCCATTTTAAAAAGAAAAAAAATGTGCCAACCCCAAAATGAAAGTTTGCATTATATTTTTTAATTTAATCATCAGCAACATTTTTTGTTTGTTTTGAGGTCACATCAGAGCTGAGAAATTACTCCTGGCTCTGACCAGGAACACTCCTTGTGGGGCTTGGAGGACCAACCATAACGGTGTTGGTATTGAATCTGGGTCTTCATTCAGCACGTGAAGCAAGGACCTTACCTACTGTACTATCTCTAGCCTTAATCTCAATAAATGGATCTTAAGCCTATTTTTGTTTGAGGTGGGAGAAAACGTTTACCAAGGAAATATTTGTCTTTTGACTTCTTGATTTATATGTATTTCTTGCATGAAAATGAAAACACTGCATCATCGCATATGTTTCAGATTTCTCCCCAGTTGATTTATTGAATGAGCATTATTTTTCTAAAATTTTTGAATAGTTAATCAAAGTTTTCTTTATGGGTTTATGATTTTATGTTAATACTAGCATATTACTATAAATTAATATTAATAATTATTCATCTTACTTAGATCTAAATGTAATTTATTCTAATGTAAAATGTGACATAGGATTATAATATTTCAAAAAGTTTTGTTCCACGGTGAAATTTATTGAAAATAGTAATCCCAGGGTTCTGCATATAAACAATGTTGATGTGGTTTCTGATGTTATGTAGCCTATAATGAACCAAAAAAGAGAGAAAATAATAACTAATGTAATTGTATAGAGAATTTAAAGAAGTCATGTGATTGAAAAAAATAATTGTAGATTAGATGACTAATGGAGGATTCTTTGAGTAAATAGTAAATAATTCTTTGAGTAAATAATACGATCCTGCTCACCTGACACCCAGACAGTGGCCTGCCGGCACTCCCCAGAGTTCCAGTACGTGCCCAACCAGCCCCCCTTCCCTCCACACAGGCCCTTATACCCAGGTCTGTGGACTACCAACAGGACCTACTGGAGGCGTGGCCTGCACTGCACTGTAGGGGCGTGGCCTCCTAAAAAGTGGGCGTGACCTCTGGATAGATCATCAAGAACAAAACTCAGTAAGGAAGCACTGGCTTTGAAGGAAGAAATAGAAGAGAGAGAGGGCTAACAACCTATACAGGGCTTTACACTCCAAACAGAAAGAATACACATTCTTCTCCAGTGCACATGGAACATTCCCTAAAATAGACCACGTGTTGGGTCACAAAACATACCTCAATAGAATCTTGAAGATAGAAATTGTATCAAATATCTTTTCAGACCACGATTGATTCGCTGAAGATAGAAGCAGATCACACACAGACGCAGAGAACCAAATCAAACACCTGGAAATTAAACACTCAATGTTAAACAACGAGTGGGTCAGGAAGG